GAATCAAGGCCGAAAGGTTGCAATATCCATAATACCGAGCCTAAGGGTTAACAACTCATGGCTTCTGGATACTAAAACAAACAAACTTGCAGGGTGTAGAAAAAGCTCATGTTATGGAGAGTTCAAGGATGAGTGTGTTATTTTGACCTTACTGTCTCACTGAACAAAGTGTTTGTCGATCTTCTTCATCTTTTCTCTAGTCCTTTTCTCCTTTCAGTGTCAAGTTTTGAAGAGACATCCGCTGTGGGCCTTCGTATGTGCTACATACTGTGTTTCCCTTCCCAAGGCCTACGTTAGCAATAAGCCCTAGGACATTTTCAGGATACTTCTGATATAAGCACTGGGACATTTTCAGGATACTTCTGATATAAGCCCTGGGACATTTTCAGGATACTTCAGATATAAGCAATGGTACAATTTTAGGATACTTCTGATATAAGCACTGGGACATTTTTAGGATACTTCTGATATAAGCACTGGGACATTTTCAGGATACTTGTGATATAAGCCCTGCCCCCAGAAACAAGCCCTGGTTAAGATCATCAGCTACAGTGAGAGAGTGGGGCGGGTGGTGGGCCAGTTGTTCTACAGCAAATGTAGTCACAACAAGTTCAGGCAGGAATTCTGCAGTTAGAGAGTTGTGATGATATTCCAGATAAAGATCACGTGACTACCAGAACAGAAGATGACATTATTGTACCAGAAGAAGAAGATAACATGACTGTACCAGAAGATGACACGACTGTACCAGATGAAGATGACATTATTGTACCAGAAGATGATGACATGACTGTACCAGAAGATAACATGACTGTACCAGAAGATGACATAACTGTACCAGAAGATGACATGACTGTACCAGATGAAGATGACATGACTGTACCAGAAGAAGAAGATGACATGACTGTACCAGAAGATGACATGACTGTACCAGATGAAGATGACATGACTGTACCAGAAGAAGAAGATGACATGACTGTACCAGAAGATGACATGACTGCACCAGATGAAGATGACATGACTGTACCAGAAGAAGATTACATGACTGCACTAGATGAAGATGACATGACTGTACCAGAAGAAGATGACATGACTGTACCAGAAGATGACATGACTGTACCAGAAAAAGATAACATGACTGTACTAGAATAAGATGACATGAATGTACCAGAAAAAGATGACATGGCTGTACCAGAAGATGACATGACTGTACCAGAAGAAGATGACATGACTGTACCAGAAAAAGATTACATTACTGTATTTGAATAAATGTAGATCTTGAAATCTGAAAATAATAAGACATCCTCCTAAGGCCTAGTGGATTTTGTAAAGCAATATTGAATATAAGACCGGGGAAACCTGGGATATACTGGTATTCACAGCCTCAGAAATTCCATCAATCCATCATTTATGTAGTCGACCTCTAATTTGCTTCTGTTGTGTTTAAGTGACAGGCCTCTCTGTGATGCACTAGCCTGTGGTAGTCTCGACACATGTTTCTATCATTTGATCTGTTGTTCTTACCTGAACCAATTTGTTTCATTATGGCATCTGTAATATTGCTAGTATATGCTGAGGGAAATTTATTAGAACTGAAGAATAAATATGACTTTCCACAGCAGTCACCTCCTGGTATACAGTTTAGGATTTTCATCAGTACCTATATGTTTGTGAATCTGTGGAAAGTTGACTGGGTTTACATATAATTATTTATTTGCTGTATTATGCTAAACCACATATTCATACATATATGGTGTTTTCTTTGTTCGTATAAAAGATGTACATAACAGTTGTGCTTTCTTGCTCATGTTCATAATTTTATTTCCTTGCACAGTGTGGGTGTTTTGTCAATAAAAATGGTAATTTTAACGCATATGTCTTTTGTTGAGGTGTGGCTAGTCGAATGGTTAAGAATGCTCAGCCGTTATGCGGGGGATCTGGGTTTGCATCAGTGGTTGAATACATCAGAAAGAAGAAAAACCATCATAAGCTACCTAGAAAAACAAACAACAGAAAATGGGATCTCAACTCATCTGTATCCTCTTGAACCTTGCGGCGTCGAGGCAAAGTATAATTTACAAGAAAGAGCATGTTTGTATGCTTTGTAAACTGGGATTCCCAAAGACTCTGTAATTGCCTCTATCCATCGCTTACATGGTTGACCTCCCTCGCTTCCCACCTGGTCTAGGTAGGGGTTAATTTCCTGAATCTTAAAAAAAAAAAAAACAGTTTAACACATCCACAAATCACAGACAGTATAACAAATCCACATATCACATACAATATAACAAATCCACATATCACAAATAGTATAACAAATCCATGTATCACAAACAGTATAATAAATCCAAACACATCCACATATCACAGGCAGTATAACACATCCACATATCACAAACAGTACAACAAATCCACATATCACAAACAGTATAACAAATCCACAAGTCACACACAATACAAAAAATCCACATACCACAAACAGTATAACACATCCACATATCACAAACAGTATAACACATCCACACATCACAAACAGTATAACAAATAAATGTGATTTTTCCAAATTTAATACACAAGAAAATAAGAAAAGCACTTGACACAGAAACAACACCAGAAAATCTGGTGTCTTGACAACTTCAGTGTGACAGGCAGTCAGGCTTTAGCATCTTGTCTTATAAATATTTGTTTTGGATGTAAAATGTATTTGACTTGTATTTGATATTTTTTTCACCTCAGTTTACTTTTTGTTTTTTAAAAAAAAATCAAATAAATGTTCCGTAATTTACCTTTAAAAAAATGATGACACTGATGTTTATGGCATAATCAAATTTCTGAAATTCAAAATATTCTCATTATTCTGAGAGGATCTGATGCCTGCTGTTGATTAGACTTTCATTGTGGATTTCCTTATGATTACAAATATAGTTCTAAACTATGCAAACAAAGAGTTTTACAAATATTTATTAAATAAACATTTTAAAATTCAAAAAGCAAGTAGGAAAATATATAGGCTTAAGCAAGATAAAAAGTAAAAATGGTCAAGAGACGATTGGAAATTAATAAACTGTGGTTTTATTTAGAGACAGATCAAGGTTACCTCAGTCATCTGTCATATTTGGAGATAGATCAAGGTAACCTCGGTCATCGGTCAGACAATGGCTATGTGGGCAGTGGGTCAAATGTCAAAACAGCTGAATGAGCATACAGCAGACAATAATACAGATCAGACAACAGCTGTATGAGCCATAGATCAGACAACAGCTGTATGAGCCATAGATCAGACAACATCTGTATGAGCCGTACATCAGACAACAGCTGTATGAGCCACAGATCAGACAACAGCTGTATGAGCCATAGATCAGACAACAGCTGTATGAGCCATAGACCAGACAACAGCTGTATGAGCCATAGATCAGACAACAGCTGTATGAGCTAAAGACCAGACAACAGCTGTATGAGCCATAGACCAGACAACAGCTGTATGAGCCATAGATCAGACAACAGCTGTATGAGCCATAGACCAGACAACAGCTGTATGAGCCATAGATCAGACAACAGCTATATGAGCCATAGATCAGACAACAGCTGTATGAGCCATAGATCAGACAACAGCTATATGAGCCATAGATCAGACAACAGCTGTATGAGCCATAGATCAGACAACGGCTGTATGAGCCAAAGATCCCACAACAGCTATATGAGCCAAAGATCCCACAACAATTGTATGAGCCATAGATCAGACAACAGCTATATGAGCCAAAGATCCCACAACAATTGTATGAGCCAAAGATCCGACAACAGCTGTATGAGCCATAGATCAGACAACATCTGTTAAACAAGCATTGTCCTAGATCAACTGGCTCCTTGGTTGTATTAAGCAGAAATAGAAATTCACTATACAATTGTTAAACACACACACACACACTCAAATATAAAGGGAAATCTTTAAGAATTACATTAAAAAAAAAAAAGAAACAGTTTCTGGTAATGTTTGTACAGATGACTGCAACAAAATAGAAAGCAATAGCAAGAAAAAAAAAGGCCTTATCCTTCATACCAAGGCAACAAGCAAGTAGACAACGAGCAGGCAGCGAAATATCACAAGTGTGTTGAATAAATAAAGTACACAGACGAAACTTGACACAAAATTCGGTTCCGACATTCAGAATAAGGGACAAAACATGCACCAAACATCCCAGCAAGACACCATTTTAACATACACCCAGCTGTAATACACTGCAACAGAGATAAAATTAGGGATGAAAGTTCTACCTCACTTACCGACACCGAACTGCAGGTCGGTCTGGGAACCGCAGGTATATTTAGGCATGTGCAACATGTGTAGCTGCAAAAGGTGGCACAATCCTGAAGGCTGCACAATATAACTAGTAGTAATAAAATGTTTACTTCCGGGAAGGCTAACCCAGAAAGAAAAAAAATGCCCGCGGAAGTAGAATGTGTCGGCCAAAAAGCGAAAATATCGCAGCCATGTTGTGAAGGGGCACAATGCATTAACGTCTTGAATGCAGAAGAAGAAATGTTTATATTTTTATGCTTTTATCATTATAAAACCTGTATTAGATTATCATTCTGGTAAAAAAACAGTGTGGCAATAGTGATGCTGCAGTTCAGCTGAGAAAAGAGGGGGTATAAAAAAAATGCCTGCAGTTCCAACCATTGGATACCCCAATATAAAAGCGAAAAATTAAAGTGTGATAATTGTATCATTACAAATCCGATGTTATTAATTAAAATATAAAACATTTCTCATTTTATTTTTGGTTATTTTTTACTGAAACAAAGAATCAGAGCTCAATTCTGTCACAGATTAACAAATAAACAAGATCACAGATTCAACACCTTAAGTTTCCATCACATATTACTCCACATGTTTCCTAGTGAAAGAAAAAACATAAATGATGTACAACAAAAAAACTGGCGCTCGAAACAGAATCCAAAATTCTTGGGGTATGTTAAATGATAAATGAGTGGCCAGGTTTTCAACTTTCGGCCGCAGTCTCACTGTCCGCTGGTGCACCTTCTTCCCGTTCGACAGGTTTCAGCTCGTCACGCCAGTGTGGGTTTTTCTCAGCAGGCTGTTGAGGGAAGAGAAATATAAGTGAGCTAAATAAATGCACAGCTCGCTAGCTCAGTTGATTAAACCTGACTGTGCAGTGACTGGGAGAAAACTCCTTGTGGTCCGGGTTCACGCCTGGGGTTAGGCATAAAAGCCACATTATTCCCAGATTTATGGTATCTATCATGGAATCAAGGCCGAAGGGTTGCAATATCCATAGTACCGAGCCAAAGGGGTAACAACTCATAGTTTATAGATACTTAAGAAAAAAAAAAGCTAAATAACTGATCCTTTTTGCACCAGTACAGCATCAGGCATATCAAGTTAGAATCTTCATCTTATTCACATTCCCCAGCTGTCAACTATGGTGGACAGTTCTTGTTATTCATCCATCTCTGGACTTCACATTCCCCAGCTGTCAACTATGGTGGACAGTTCTGGTTATTCATCCACCTCTGGACTTCATGTTCACCAGCTTTCAACTATGGTGGACAGTTCTAGTTATTCATCCACCTCTGGACTTCATGTTCACCAGCTGTCAACTATGGTCGACAGTTCTAGTTATTCATCCATTTCCGGACTTCACATTCCCCAGCTGTCAACTATGGTGGACAGTTCTGGTTATTCATCCATCTCTGGACTTCATGTTCACCAGCTGTCAACTATGGTGGACAGTTCTGGTTATTCATCCACCTCAAGTCTTGAGTCTCGTCCCAGAGCCTGAGTGTTGCATGGACATCCATTTGACAGATCTGGCTGATTTGTATGCAGATTGTCAGTTTACTTGCCTCTCAGGCAGATGCACTCCGACTTCGATGTAAAGTCAACTCCTCCGCCGTGTTTGCTGGGAAGGCAGTAGGTCTGTTCTTGTTTTCCTACAATAAGGCCCTGGAACACACACAGGGAATCTCTATTTTTGATTTCTTTTGTTTTCATTAAATACAACCGATTGTCGTGTACATACACATCTCCTACAGCGATGATGCTGGTCGCAGCCTGGATAAACATCCGCCTGTCTTTTCCTCTGCGTGTGGAAGACCTTCTAGACCCGCTCCCAACTTCCAGCTGTCAGTCTTTCATGGTCTGGAAACTGCCTGCTCCTTTGCAGTGACCACTTATTTAATCCCAGGGAGCTTTCACCAGGTCTGCGGTATCATAACATAACCTTTGACCCATTAGGGTCATGGAGGTGTAATGATGGAAGCCCTAGCACATAAAACCTATCATCTTTCTTTATCTTCTGCTTGACGAATAAGAGTATGTCGACTTCTTGATGTTGTCATTTCAGATTCATCTTTGCCCTCCTCTTCTTTGACTACCCCCTAATGTTCCTTGAAGTACAGTCTTTGTAATCGAATGTCTCACTATCTGCCAAAACCAAGCTGGCTTGCAACATTTTACCACTGCCAAGATATAATGACAGGTGGCTCCCGCTGGATTTTCCTGTCTCACGCTCCAATAGCTACACCCATGGCATGTAGTCTATTCAGTGAAGAATTATTTTCCACGAAACTGAAAGCTTCAAAGTGTTTAGTCTCTAATACAGCATTGATGATGTCCCTTTTGTCCATAGAGGGTTCATTCCTGACTGTTTCCTGTAGTAGGACACCCCCCCCCCCCACAGAGTACACTGTACAACATCATCAAGAGCTCATAACCTCATTACAGCATAACTGCGATTTTTGCATCTTTTGACTGACACCGCCAACCTCTTTGAGCATTTGTTAGTCTTCCAAGACACCAACCTCAGATTTGATGTTCTTCCCCCGGTAGCCCCCTGGGAGAAGTGAGCAACCTTTGGATTAAGTAATAAATGCATTAAGTAGTAAATGTGAATCTGCAACACTGACGAGACTACATGAACATAACATCAAAAGGGACAAGAGCGCTACACAGGGGCCCAAAGAAGAATATGAAACCAACAAAGAACTGGTGTCATAAGCCACTACACACTGAGGGAGATACCGAAGAGAGGATCTGAGCACTTATGGACTAGATGGTTCGCTGTGTGGTGATGTTAATGTGTTGACTAACTAACAGGATGACATACCTCATCTTCCTCCAGAGCGTACTTGTTTTGCCCTGTTGACTTCAGGTTTCCTCTGAAGTCTGTTGATTCTTTCATCTGTTGTAGGCCTAACTTTTTCAGTCTGCAAAATGGAGGAACAAACATTAACATAGTTCATTATGAAAGTTTGTCGTCCTCTGCGGCTTAGGTGTTATGAAAACAGTTTTGTAATTCTGAAATAACTTTAAAAATGCAGCTATGAAAGATCTAGCAACAGACTTTGCACTGATTTCAAAAAAGGTATAAGCCTTACCTTTCAGAAAGAATGGCAAACTACTGAAAGTAAAGTTGCCTAGAAAACCCCCACACAGATCCAACAATGCAGGGGTTGGTTTGCAAAGTTCCCTAAAGGATATGCAATGATCGTCTGTTCCAAAAGAGTGAACTCAAACTTGAACAAACATTGTGACAACTCCTGTCCAGATCAGCATGCAATTTTGCAAGTGGTCATAGATTTGTTGTGGAGACTAATGATTTGTCCCCCCCCCCCCCCCCCCCCCCACCCCCCCCCCCCCCCCCCCCATTTTTTAAACAATATTCAGTAAATGACAAAACTCTAGTGGAAAGTTCTGGCTGTTCATCCACTTCTTGACTATAGTCGTGTTCCAAAACTTGAGTGTTGCGTGTGCATTTGTTTTATAGATCTGACTCATTCGTTTGCAGACTGCTGGTTCCTTGCCTCTCAGGCAGGTTACAACATGCTGGCTGGGTAGGCAGTGGGTCTATTCTTGTTTTCCCCATAACCCACATGGGGATAAAGGGGTTCAAGTGAGTATCTTTTAAAAGATGTATCTAAAAGTATTGCTGAGTCTGTGCTTTGTGTGACAGCTGCTGAAGCTGCAGAGTCTGTGCTTTGTGTGACAGCTGCTGAAGCTGCAGAGTCTGTGCTTTGTGTGACAGCTGCTGAAAAATGGCCAGCTGCTCTTACAAAAGTCCAAGCTAAATGAGACGAAACTCTGCAACTAATCTGATTCTTTTACCATTCACTATCACCCTGTTTACCAATTATGTCACATAGAACATGGACAAAAAAGTCCAGGCTAGACATATATTTTTTATTGACCAACATTACATCTGCCACCTTTACTTTCTAGGACATTTTCCATCACTTGTCCATTCTGCTGTACAGGTGTCCTCTGTCTGCCTGCCTACTCACTTCAATAAGAACTCAGATAAAGATGTGATGTCTCTCATGGTCTGTTTTATACTCACTTGCTCTCTGTCTTGTTCACCTTCCTCAGCACAGGTTTGATACTGAAAGACAAGAGGAGCAATTGTTAGTGCAGATTATAGTGGGACTAATAACAATGCATAATGTAAATAAGTGCCCATTATAGAGAGACTAGATCTGCTTTGTGGTGCATACTGTATGCAACATCACCCAAACCATCCCTAGCTTCCATACTATCTCGTATCCATTTTAGGCTGTCTCCACATGGCAGAGTTTGAAATAATCTGGCTGAATTAAATGTTAGTCAAAGAACTCCAGAGGAGTTGTCCAGTAACTGCTTTGTTTCTGTGCCAGCTGAAATCACACAAAATGTTCTTAGCTGTCTCGTCTGAAAACTAGTGAAAAACTTGTCCCAGTAAAATCTGGAAGCTTGCACATGCAAAGTAAAAAAAAATGCATAAGGTTAGCTGCCAGATGTGCCAACACCAACAGTCCCTCACCATAACCGCAGCTAACACAAATGGGTAATCATAAAGGCCGGCAACAGTGCAAACTATTCTGAATGTAAGGCGTGACTCCTGAAAGCTGAGGCAGGGGCTGGCCAGCACAAAGTTGAAACAGGTTATTTCAGACACCCTGGACATGAAAGTGCATGAGATGTTGCAAACTGGAAAAACACTGACTATCTTTTGAGATATCACAGCCTAGCTGTAAATGACAACAAAATATGCCATCCATTTTTTTAAGGGTGAGTCCAGAAAAAAAAAAAAGCAAATGTGGAGCTTTGGGAGAGAACTAAAGAAATTTCAGAGAACCTCAAGGTGAAGAAAAGACCCTGCCCTTGGATAGAACACGTGTTGAGAAAACTTGAGAACAATATAACTAGAATGTCTTTAGAGTGGAAGCAGCAGGGGTATAGAAATAAAGACGAAAAGAGAGGGGAACAAACATGGAGAAAAGGATATGATGACTTCCCGTGAGTTGGTTGACAACCATGCTCCATTGGAAATAAAGGGCAGCAGCAGGAGAAGAAGGACAAGAAACATTTACTAAGATCAACTTACTATTTGCCCTTGGTATCATTCACTTTAAGTGTCAGCTCATTGATCTGTGGAGAGAGGTCAAGATTTATGATAAATTATGACCACATAACATATTGCAAGCCAGTTTCACAAAGAATCCCAACATTTGAGAAAACTCCATTGCTGTGCTGACGTGGTTAAACCGACATTATACTACAGCCTTGATATTACGACTCTTTGATTCATGCACAACTACATCCAGGGTTAGCCCACCCAGGATGTAGCGACACAAGTAGCCTTCCCACAATGAGATATATAGGTAAGTTATTTAGGACTCTTTTGATTGCAGCAGCCCATCAAGCACATGAGACATGACTGCTCAGTATATGGATGTGAGGTTTAGCAGTCATGTGAACATTCTTTGTGTGAGCCCAGTACCAGAGCATCAGGTATCGGCTCTGCCTCCTTGGATGGTGGGGAACACCCAAGCTCTGCATTGTGGAAGCCTCCTTGGATGGTGGGGAACACCCAAGCTCTGCATTGTGGAAGCCTCCTTGGATGGTGGGGAACACCCAAGCTCTGCTTCTGCCAGTCTTTTAATCTCTATCCAAAAATGTGATGCAATGGGTGTTTTTTTTTAAGCTCCACCCTGGCTGTAGTCGGGGTCCCAAATATAACCTAACAGTTGAACTGGGTTTCTGGCACTTGTGTCAGGTGGGTTTTTTCTTCAGAATGCTGTCACTTTAGGTCACTGGGTGATTGTCACTCATTGTATGGTCCTGGTGTGGTTGAATGTTCTCACTCACTCTACAGACAATACCTGTGGATCAGGGGATGATGAAGTCACAACACATATAAGGCTACAAATATTCCACAAAACTAAATAAGAAGGGTAACCCAGATAATAAATGCCAGAAGAAATCAAATGTGTCGCATGACGCAAATATCACAGCTATGCTTTAAAACAGGCACTAAGCATTTATGTCTCTCGAATGAACGGTGAAGAAGAATAAGAAGATACACGACTCATATATTTACAGACCAATCAAACAAGGGATGTGTGAAAGGATAAATCTGGAATGAGTACAACCAGTGTCTTGCTAATACTATCACGAGCTGAGTTTTACATCTGCTGAGGAAGGCAGAGACACTACTGATTTCCCCAGAGTGTTACGGCGTTGATTCTATAAACCAGGGCTTCCCTAACTTGCTAGGCCGACCGTCCCCCTTTTTAATGTCGAAAGTATGGGATTATTAAAACAAAACCAATGAAAAATATTTAAATTACTGATAATGAGAAGGAAAAAACCTTATTGGTTATAAGCATAATTTCTTTGTTTATTTGGAAACTTCAGCAATCTTTATGATATTAATTAGTTACACTACACTAAATCAAGTAGAACAGTTTATCTAAATGTTCTCCCAATGCTGGTCTATCTTTCCTGCTGCCTTATTTCTATTTAGTGTCCCCCGCCCCAACTGCATCTGTGGCTGATGCCTCATGGACCATTCCAGCCCCCCCCCCAATTTGCTGAGAGAGATTCTGCCCCCCCCCCCCCCCCCCCAATTTGCTGAGAGAGATTCTGCCCCTCCCCCCTCCCCAATTTGCTGAGAGAGATTCTGCCCCCCCCCCCCCCCCCCCCCCCCCCCCAATTTGCTGAGAGAGATTCTGCCCCTCCCCCCTCCCAAATTTGCTGAGAGAGATTCTGCCCCCCCCCCCAATTTGCTGAGAGAGATTCTGCCCCTCCCCCCTCCCCAATTTGCTGAGAGAGATTCTGCGCCCCCCCCCCCCCCCCCCCCCCCCCCCCCCCCCCCCCCAATTTGCTGAGAGAGATTCTGCCCCTCCCCTCTCCCCCAATTTGCTGAGAGAGATTCTGCCCCCCCCCCAATTTGCTGAGAGAGATTCTGCCCCTCCCCCCTCCTTCCTGGATCATCTCAACATCCCCTGGGGGCAGCAGCACCCACTTTGGGACACACTGCTGTAAACCAAAAGATACAAAAAGAGAAGACAAATAACACACTCAGAAGAACTCACCTCGAAATCCTGTTTGCGAATCTTAATCTCCCAGTCGTACACATCCTCTTCCAGAGAACACATTCTTTGGTAGAGTTTGTTGATCAATTCAATGAGCTCAGCTGTATAATATATATATATAAATATATATTTATAAATTATATGTAAACAAGTGTTTAAATAATTTCACTCACAATACATTGCACAGTTCAATGAAAAGTTCAAAAGTAAATAGCCCTTTTCCACACCTTCAGATGTACTGGGCATATTAGGGCTAGACCTACATTTTGTAGGTTGGTGATGTGGTCAGTATTACACCGGCTGCCTTGACTTCCAAGGACTGCATAATTCATTGTCTGGTATATACTGCTGTATCTTGTTTACTGAGCTGAATGCTCTGTGAGATCAAGTGGACAATACAATAGAACAGGCAGAGAATCTATACATTGAGGAACTAATTCAACGGAGGGGGGCTTCTAGAAGATATTCAGCACTGAGGGGAAACAGGTGGACTTTTAATCAGGTCTTCGTTGACTACTGTAGAAGGGGAAGGAGCATGTGTGGGAATGTCCTGAGTACAATTATGTCAATTCCTGATTCAATCACATCACTGTATCTTATCAAGTGCATTACTAAAGAGTTACATCAACATAAACTGAAGCACAAAAAATGAATCATTTCCGTTGAAATACATAAATCACATTGTCTTCTCTAGTCAGTCACTCTGTACATTTCACCACCACAAACAATTGTTACCTCTTCATTAGAGATTGACTTCTGTACAGGAATACCTCCAATTGCACACACAAATAATTTCACATTTTCTCCACCTAATTATTGGGCTGTATCGTAATATGCCTCTCAGCAGATGAAAAAAGTTCTCTTCCTGGTAGAGAACATGGTCCAGAGTCCTATCCCAGGTAGGGAACATTGTCCAGTCAATAGGAGGTCAGTAAACTAACCAATACCCCAACAGTTGGTCAGTAAACTAACCACAATGTTAAATGAAGGTCTGTAAACTAACCACTATTTCAATAGTAGGTCAGTAAACTAACCATTACGTTCTCATAGCAAACAGTTATCACGTACCTTGTCCTTTTCCTTCTGTCTTTACTGGAGGGACTTTCTCATTGATGTACTTCTCCCTTTCAGCAGCTTTCTGTTTGGCCTCATTTCGGAGATCTTCTGCTGCCTTCTGCATGATCAGTTTCTGCAAGGTCATGGTTAGAACAGAAATATATAAAAAAATTGCCCCTTATCTCTCTCTCTCTCTCTTTCTCTATATATACAAATATATATATATATATTATCTGTGTGGCTACCGGTGCCCCACTTAAAAGCTAGTTGTGTATCCTTTACAGGACATTGCAGAGTCAACCCCAGCATTTTTTGGCTGTTGTGTTTTTTTTCTAGGCAAATTTACATCCAGTAGTTTGCCTTTCTTTCTTCACCCCACTGTCGAAACCAACACAAGGCGCTAAGCCCCCAGCTGAGATCGAACCCGGCACCCCTGCATTGCGAAGTGCATGCACAGGTGCCGGAGCCCCACTTAGAGGAAGATATGCAAAATCTTGAATGCTCTGCTTTCTTCTGCTTTTTCTTCCTTCACGGGCTGTAAGCTCCAGTGGAAAGTCTTGAAGCATTTCAAAGTGGCAATATATACAATTGTGGTGACCGATGGGGAAGGCCAGATTTATCTAGAATCTTCTGAACAAATGACCATTATGCTTCGGAGAGGAATCAAGGGGTGAATTTATTCACAGACCGCCAGTTTCCTGGACTGAATAACATAATTTGGTTTCCTAAGGTGACTGAGCCAGTTGTTGTTTTTGTTGTTGAGATATTTAACTGACCTTGAGCAGTTTTTTCTTCTCAGCAGACAGGCCACCAAGACCTTTCCTCTTGCCTTTCTTCTTTCTCTCCTCCTCAGCCTTTGCACGGGCAGCCTGCACAGCAAATAAAAAAACAAGAGTTTCAACAAGAAGGACGTTGGTTTACAAACAAGAAGTCACTACAACAAGAAATCACTACAAAATTGTATCTATAACCAATCTGTGTGGGTTATAAACAAGAAATCACTACAAAATTGTATCTATAACCAATCTGTGTGGGTTATAAACAAGAAATCACTACAAAACTGTATCTATAACCAATCCGTGTGGGTTATAAACAAGAAATCACTACAACACTGTATCTATAACCAGTCTGTGTGTGTTATAAACAAGAAATTACTACAATACTGTGTCTTTTTTTTTTTTTAACGTATCCAGAAACCATGAGTTGTAAACCCTTTGGCTCGGTACTATGGATATCCCAACCCTTCGGCATTGATTCCATTATAGGTACCGTTAATCTGGGAGAAATGTGGCTTTTCTGCCTACCCCCGGGAGTGAACCAGGACCACAAGGAGTTCGTCACCCGGCCGCCGCGAAAGTCAGATTTAACCAACTTCGCTAGAGAGCCGGGCAATACTGTGTCTTTAACCAGTCTGTGTGGGTTATAAACCAGACATCACAACAACACTGTGGCTATAACCAGTCTGTGTGAGTTATAAACCAGAAATCACAACAACACTGTGGCTATAACCAGTCTGTGTGGGTTATAAACCAGAAATCACTACAACACTGTGTCTATAACCAGTCTGTGTGAGTTATAAACCAAAAATCACTACAACACTGTGTCTATAACCAGTCTGTGTGGGTTATAAACCAGAAGTCACTACAATATTGTGTCTATAAACAATCTGTGTGGGTTATAAACAAGAAATCACTACAAAGTGTATCTATAACCAATCTGTGTGGGTTATAAAGAAGAAATCACTACAACACTGTGTCTATAACCAATCTGTGTGGGTTATAAACAAGAAATCACTACAAAATTGTATCTATAACCAATCTGTGTGGGTTATAAACAAGAAATCACTACAAAACTGTATCTATAACCAATCTGTGTGGGTTATAAACAAGAAATTACTACAACACTGTATCTATAACCAGTCTGTGTGGGTTATAAACAAGAAATTACTACAACGCTGTGTCTTTAACCAGTCTGTGTGGGTTATAAACCAGAAATCACTACAACACTGTGTCTATAACCAGTCTGTGTGAGTTATAAACCAGAAATCACTACAACACTGTGTCTATAACCAGTCTGTGTGGGTTATAAACCAGAAGTCACTACAACATTGTGTCTATAACCAATCTGTGTGGGTTATAAACAAGAAATCACTACAAAGTGTATCTATAACCAATCTGTGTGGGTTATAAACAAGAAATCACTACAACACTGTATCTATAACCAATCCCTGTGGGTTATAAACAAGAAATTACTACAACACTGTATCTATAACCAGTCTGTGTGGGTTATAAACAAGAAATTACTACAACGTTGTGTCTTTAACCAGTCTGTGTGGGTTATAAACCAGAAATCACTACAAGACTGTGTCTATAACCAGTCTGTGTGAGTTATAAACCAGAAATAACTACAACACTGTGTCTATAACCAGTCTATGTTGGTTATAAACCAGAAATCACAACAACACTGTTGCTATAACCAGTTTGTGTGAGTTATAAACCAGAAATCACAACAACACTGTGTCTATAACAAGTCTGTGTGGGTTATAAACAAGAAATCACAACAACACTGTGTCTTTAACCAGTCTGTGTGAGATATAAACCAGAAATCACAACAACACTGTGTCTATAACCAGTCTGTGTTGGTTATAAACAAGAAATCACAACAATACTGTGTCTATAACCAGTCTGTGTGAGTTATAAACCTGAAATCACAACAACACTGTATCTATAACCAGTCTGTGTTGGTTATAAACAAGAAATCACAACAACACTGTATCTATAACAAGTCTGTGTTGGTTATAAACAAGAAATCACAACAACACTGTATCTATAACCAGTCTGTGTGAGTTATAAACAAGAAATCACCACAACACTGTGTCTATAACCAGTCTGTGTTGGTTATAAACAAAAAATCACAACAACACTGTATCTATAACCAGTCTGTGTGGGTATTAAACCAGAAATCACTACAACACTGTGTCTATAACCAGTCTGTGTGGGTATTAAACCAGAAATCACTACAACACTGTGCCTATAACCAAGTGTGTTTATAACTTACCTGTGTGGTGTACACTCTACTTGTAGGTAAAACAGAGCAGTAGTAGGAATAAGAGTGGGAGTAATAGTAAAAATAGTAGTAGTAATCAGATAAACAGTAGTTCTACAAGTATAGAAGGTAGAAGTAGCAGGAGAAGAGGCTGCGGTAGTCATAGTGGTAACAGTAGTAGTTGTAGAAGCAGCATCTCTTGTAGTGTATTAGTAATAGGAGGAGGAGTAGTAGCAATGATAATAATAGCTATAATTATAATAGTAGCAGTGATAGGAGTAGCCACAATATTAGCTGTAGGAATAGTAGTAGTGACAGCAGTAGTAGTGACAATAGTTGTTAAAATAGCTATTGGTAATAATTATAATATTGCTTTGTTATCCTATTAACTCTTTGAGTCCCAGGAAGTTTAGCATCACAGGCCCAAGGGGTAGAAAAGAGAGACATAAAATTGGTGCACCATGTGTTAACTGGGCTTCTAGATAGGAACCTATGAATGTATAATGCATTCCTTGGGACTCAAAGAGGTAATGACTATTATGATTTTGAAGAACATTATTGCCATACTGACGATTATTATGCATACTCAAAGTGTACTGACCTCTTCAGCGTCCATTCTTTCTCTCTCTTCTCTCTCTTCTGCTTTTCTGCGTTCTTCTTCCTCTTGCTAAACATTTGGGGAGAAAACAGAGAAACTGTACTAATATTGTAGAAGTAGTAGTAGCAGTAATTGTAGTAGAATAGTAGTATGTGGAGCAACAGCAGTAACTGTAGTAGAATAGTAGTAGTAGTAGCAGCAGCAGTAGTAGTAGTAGTAGTAGTAGTAGCAGCAGTAGTAGTAGTAGCAGCAGCACCAGCAACACAGGGTAGCAGCAACAGCAAAAGCAACAGCAGCAGTAGCAACAGCAATAATGGTATTAATGTAACAGCAATAGTAGCACTAGAATCAGTAGCAACATAAATAGCAGCTGCAGAAACAGTAGTAGCAGAAATAGTAGCTGCAGAAACGGTAGCAGCAGAAACAGTAGCAGCATAAACAGTAGCAGCAGAAACAGTAGCAGAAGAAACAGTAGCAGCAGAAACAGTAGCAGCAGAAACAGTAGCAGCAGAAACAGTAGCAGCAGAAACAGTAGCCTCAGAAACAGTAGCAGCAGAAACAGTAGCAGCAGAAACAGTAGCGTCAGAAACAGTAGCAGCATAAACAGTAGCAGCAGAAACAGTAGCAGAAGAAACATTAGCAGCAGAAACAGTAGCAGCAGAAACAGTAGCAGCAGAAACAGTAGCAGCAGAAACAGTAGCAGCAGAAACAGTAGCAGCAGAAACAGTAGCCTCAGAAACAGTAGCAGCAGAAACAGTAGCAGCAGAAACAGTAGCCTCAGAAACAGTAGCAGCAGAAACAGTAGCCTCAGAAACAGTAGCAGCAGAAACAGTAGCAGCAGAAACAGTAGCCTCAGAAACAGTAGCAGCAGAAACAGTAGCCTCAGAAACAGTAGCAGCAGAAACAGTAGCAGCAGAAACAGTAGCCTCAGAAACAGTAGCAGCAGAAACAGTAGCCTCAGAAACAGTAGCAGCAGAAACAGTAGCAGCAGAAACAGTAGCAGCAGAAACAGTAGCAGCAGAAACAGTAGCCTCAGAAACAGTAGCCTCAGAAACAGTAGCAGCAGAAACAGTAGCAGCAGAAACAGTAGCAGCAGAAACAGTAGCAGCAGAAACAGTAGCAGCAGAAACAGTAGCAATCTTTGTCACATGGATACAGGTGTTGTTGGTAATGAAAGAGCTGACAGACTGGCCATTCAGCCTTACTTGCAGATGGCCTTTCGACTTTGCAGATGATAGTTTCTATTGTGCGATGTGGCAGCAAGGGAATCATAGCCTATGCTGATCCTCTTCATAGAATAAAAGGTTCCTTTTCCACAGCTTCTGGCGTATTGAGCACACAGTTGTTGACTCATATTTTATAGACCAGACGGCACTTGGTGGATGATGTGCTCAACATCCCCTCAGTTATAGAACAAAGCCTGAGCAGTATTGCAGAGACCATGTTTTCAGGGACGGATTAAAACCTGTTTATGCCCCAAGTATTTAACAGATTTTGTCCCCTCCCCCCTCCCCCAGCACTTAAAAGATTTTAGTTCCCCCTCCCCTTTTCCACCTCCCAGAACCTTCTTAACAGCATTATGGGCCCCAGGGCAAACCAGTGTGCTGGGTGCTCTAAAAGAACCACTCATAGGAATGGAATTTAAATGGTCACTTGTCATACACAGACTGGCACAGGCCCCTTATGTTTGTAGGCTTCCGGGGAAAGTGCCCAGCATGCCCATGTATTAAGGCAGCACTGGCCACCCCTATATATGTGTCAATTAAAAATACAAACAATAATAAAGCATTAGAGTTTGGAGGCAACTGAGATTTGGTTCTTGAGAAGAATGGTGTGAATACCTTTGACTGCCAGAATAACTAACAATGATTGCCTGGAAATGGCTAATAAATATTATTTATGACAATAAGAGGGAGACAAACAAAGTTCTTTGGTCATGTGATGAGAAAAGGAGCATTGAAAAATATTGTGACAACTGGAAAGATCACTGGTAGAAGAGGCAGAGGCAGACCAAGAGAAATGTTGGTGGAGGGCTTGAGACAGTGGTATGGAGGAATATCATCAGTGGAATTGACCCAGAGCACCAAAAACCGAGATCTGTGGAGATGCATGAATGCCTACGCCAGCTGGCAAGGCACTTCATGATGAATGAATAAACTATAAAATTAATAGTATAAATTGAAATTAAACAAAACTTTCAGTAAGATGGAAACTATAGCACATATTTTTTTTCTACACTTCTGCTTTTTTTTATATTTCAAAAGTTTTCTCCAACAGTTTTAGATTGGAAAGTCCTTGACAGGACCCTCAAACTAATCTTAATCAATACTTCTATACTTAACTCTTTCAGTCCCAAGGAACGCATCATATGTTTATAGGTTATTGCCTAGAAGCCCGATGAACGCATGATGCGCCGATTTTACGTCTTTCATGATTACCCCTTGGGCCTGTGATGTTAAACCCTCTGGGACTCAAAGAGTTAATAGAGATGAGGAATCCCACCTGACTCGTTGCATTGTTGTTCCGATGGAATATTTTAAATATTCTTCAACAAAAACGCTTAGCTCTAGGGCACACTCCCTTTGTGATGCATTAAGCACATGCTTAATGTGCTCAATGGTTAATCTGGCCCTGCATGACCCCTCTCTGCAGGCTTTGTTAACTCCAAGTGAAAGGTAACACTAGTTGGTTCTGAGCAGCAGAAATTATGGAGCTAAATAAGAGGAGAAAAGTACACTTACCTTTCTGCGTTTCTCTTCTTGCTGTCTTCTCTCCTCCTCTTGTCTCCTTCTTTTATCTGCCTCTTGTCGCTGCCTCTCTGCCTCTGCAGCCTCCTGTTCTTCTCTTCGCCTTCTTTCTTCCTCCTCTCTGGCGCTGGAATCGTCCTCAGCAGGAGCAGATGTCTCCTAATTGACAAAAAGACAGTTATCAAGAGCTATGTTAACCAAATGTCAAAGAAAATAACATTTGTTTAGTTAAATCTTTTTTTTTTCTCTCTTTTTCTTTTGTTGAGAGGATCGACTTCATTGCACCAGGTTTTATCCCATATGGCTCAGTCCCTCTATGCAGAACAACTAGCTGCCTGCCAAGAGCATTGCACAGAGCATAACCTCCGAAGCTCCAGTGACGATCCCCTGGGATCTCTTTTAGGGCACTCGTGAACAGGACCGCTATAAAATGAACACCATGACCTTCAGAGTGCAGGGCAAACGGCCTGACCACTTTTGTCATCTAGTGCCTTGCAGAGAGCTGTGGGCGATCATGCTTTTCCATATCTCGTGATCTCCAGCCGGATGTACCAAATGCTGTGTAGGTCTTTCTGTGTCGATTATGGGACCCGCTTTGGCCCCCCCCCCCCCCTTTCCGCTCCAACAAGAAGGTCATAGGAGGTGACTAATAAAGGGTGTTTCCTCTTAAGGTTGCGTCTGCAGCTTAGGTGTTGCAAACGCGTTTTGCGATGCTGAGGTGTTGGATTTTATCCCATCTGCAGGTGATTTGGCAGCAGATTGCCTTACATTGGTTTCAGCTGTGGTATCGAGAGCTGACCATCCAGAAAGCTATAGCAAACTACTGGATGTAAATTTGCCTAGAAAAACCACAACAGCCAAAAAATGCTGCATTGCCGTGTGAAGGATACGCAACTAACTTTTCCTTTGAAGTCGTAGTGCATCTGCCTGAGAGGCAACGAACCAACAGTCTGCATACTAATAAGCCAGATCTGCAAAGCAGATGTGTACACAAAAGAAAGCGAGGAAGCAACAGTCTGCATACAGGTAAGCCAAATCTCTAAAACAGATGTGTACACAAGACTCAAGATCTGGAATAAGGCCAAAGTCCAGAAGTGGACGAACAACCAGACCTATTCACCAGAGGTGAACGCTTAGAACAAAGATAAATTTCTGTGCTGACACCCCTCCATGACAAGATGAAAGTCTGTAAAGAATCCTCTTTTACTGTCCTCCCACATCTCCTCTTAAGTAAAAAAAAAATGCAAACGCGGGAACTTAAGTCTTTTTTTTTTACAGCATTCCGAGCCCTTGAGGTTCATTGCTGCAGATATCACCCACCTCAATTTATCTCTCTGGTTGGCCTTCTTTTCCCAGTTGGTGACACCAATTGTTTGCAGGTCTGTCTGGACATTATCTCTCCATGATCTTCTTGGTCTACCTCGTGGTCTACGACCATTTATCTCCCCTTTTAACAGAGATAAATAAAATACTGACATCTTTCATCATCATCATGTAGCAGGTCCAGAGTCTCTCTGAAAGAAAGTCTGTCTCTCTGACTTCCTGCCTCGAGTACTTTCCTACCCAAGGTGCCGCTTATATCTGGTCTGCATCTCCATGCTGGATGGCACCTGCACTTCTTTCTTGGCCCTATGCCTTTTGCCAAGGATATGGCCAAAATATTTCAGTCTCCCAGAGAAGATGCTGTTGATTGTTCAATTTTCCTTGATGTTCCGATCTTTTAGGATGTAAGCTTTTCTATTCTTCTTGGTCCATTGTATGTTAACGTGTCTATTTCTTCCTTGATGACTGAGATAGTCCACGATTCACATCTGTATGCTGCTATAAGAAAAATAAATGCACTCATAATTAAAAACCCACCCCAAAAAAATTTCTTTTTAATTCCGAGGCCCCATTTGGGGGGGGGGGGGGGGGAGGAGGAGAGGGGGTATAGACTCACTGTCTACTAGAAAGAATGTCATAAAAGTCTAACAATTAGGGGTGTTTCCTTTGAAATCAGACTGCTTCTGCCAGAGAGGCAAAGAACACAGTCTGCATAAAAATAAGCAAAATCTGTAAAATGGATGTACAACCAAAACTCAAGTTCTGGAGTGGACAAACAACTAGAATTTTCTGAAGGAGTTTACAGCTTGTGAATATGAAGAGTAGGAAGAAGAAGAAAAATTTGAAATATTATTTTTGAAATCATAATCACAAAGAACTAAGGTAAACTTAAGATAACTTTAACAAGAAACAAATGCGTGCTACAAACAAAAGACATGCATGGCATGCAACGTGCAAGAGAATCTTTGTCATTTCCTGCTGCAGGGGGGGGGGGGGGGGGGGGGGGGGGGGGTATTTAAGAGTTATAAATCCAGGGCTCTTTATCTGGTGGTAGGCACGAAAACTTAGTACACCGGCACCTTTTTTCTTTGAGGCATCATATTTATCCAGCACTACTGTAACCGACTGTGGTGAGGACGAGCACTTTGTACAGGCGAGTATTGTGATGAATATTGACACCTTTTTTCTTTGAGGCATCATATTTATCCAGCACTACTGTAACCGACTGTGGTGAGGACGAGCACTTTGTACAGACGAGTATTGTGATGAATATTGACACCTTTTTTCTTTGAGGCATCATATTTATCCAGCACTACTGTAACCGACTGTGGTGAGGACGAGCACTTTGTACAGGCGAGTATTGTGATGAATATTGACACCTTTTTTCTAGAAAAAGAAAGGACTGTATAAAACTATTAAAAAAATTGCGGATTCACTTAATTACACAAGGTTTCAACCTGTATGACTTGGTTCAAGTCCTCAGAGTGGCTGCTCGCCTGCAGACAGCACGAGCTCCGAGCTGCAATGATGACCCTAGGGATCACCGAAGCACACATGTAAGCAGCATTCAGTATTTGTAACTAGGAGACTAGAGCACCACTCTTTAGATCCACCAGCTTTAACGGGAATGCTTTGTTCCAAACATATTGCTGTTACAGTTTATTTAGAATTTTTAAAAAAAAGCAGGCAGAGGGAGAAATCATGCTCCATGAGCAATACATGGTCTCTACAATACTGCTCATGTTTTTGTGACTCCATGAGCAATACATGGTCTCTACAATACTGCTCATGTTTTGTGACTCCATGAGCAATACCTGGTCTCTACAATACTGCTCATGTTTTGTGCCTCCATGAGCAATACATGGTCTCTACAATACTACTCATGTTTTTGTGACTCCATGAGCAATACCTGGTCTCTACAATACTGCTCATGTTTTGTGACTCCATGAGCAATACCTGGTCTCTACAATACTGCTCATGTTTTGTGCCTCCATGAGCAATACATGGTCTCTACAATACTGCTCATGTTTTTGTGACTCCATGAGCAAGACCTGGTCTCTACAATACTGCTCATGTTTTGTGACTCCATGAGCAATACCTGGTCTCTACAATACTGCTCATGTTTTGTGACTCCATGAGCAATACATGGTCTCTACAATACTGCTCATGTTTTTGTGACTCCATGAGCAATACATGGTCTCTACAATACTGCTCATGTTTTTGTGACTCCATGAGCAATACATGGTCTCTACAATACTGCTCATGTTTTGTGACTCCATGAGCAATACCTGGTCTCTACAATACTGCTCATGTTTTGTGCCTCCATGAGCAATACATGGTCTCTACAATACTGCTCATGTTTTGTGCCTCCATGAGCAATACCTGGTCTCTACAATACTGCTCATGTTTTGTGCTTCCATGAGCAATACATGGTCTTTATAATACTGCTCATGTTTTGTGCCTCCATGAGAAGTATTATTTACATTTCCATACCATTGCATTTTTCGCCTTTCTTCACTGTAGTTAAAAAAAGTTCCTATTTGCCAATAACACAAGACTAGTGTGCTTACAAAATCCAGAATGTACCAAATCCATCATATATCTTTCAAATTATCAAAGCGGAATAGCATAATAAACTTAGTAAAAGGAAGAACTCAAAAGTTATAGCTTAAACAAAACAATTGTGACATGATTTTCAAATATTAATCTGTGAAATCATAATTTAAAAGTACTAAGCTAAACTCAACGAGGATAATACTTCCTTACGTCCTTCTTAGGACGTTATTTTTTGTTATTTGAAGCCCCACTCTGGCTTTTGCCAGGGGCCGCAATATAGGCAGGTCATCATTGTGGCCAAATGTCTGAACGCGGTTTCTGGGACCTCTCCACGGTGATCCTCATCCGCATGGTGGCACTTTGTGTCATCGGGTGTTTATCGCTTGTGTGATGTCCTGGTGGGGTAAAAAAGCCAAGCCAAGCCAAGCTAAACTCAAGATAAATCAAACAAGAAACAAATGCATGCTTCAAATAAAAGATATGCTTCGCATGCAATGTGCAAAAGATTCTTTTTTTTGGTTCTAATATCATGGAATATCACCTATTTGACTACCCATATAGGGACAGACCAAAACAAGCCCTTACCCTGTGCCTTAGAACAGAGAATAACCCATTACTATCAACATGTATATGAACTTTAAAACTGAAGGTCTGACCAGCATGAGATTACCATCCAAGTGTTTACAAACTTCAGAACTGAAGGTCCAGACCAGCATGAGATTATCATCCAAGTGTTTACAAACTTCAGAACTGAAGGTCTGACCAGCATGAGATTATCATCCAAGTGTTTACAAACTTCAGAACTGAAGGTCTGACCAGCATGAGATTACCATCCAAGTGTTTACAAACTTCAAAACTGAAGGTCCAGACCAGCATGAGATTACCATCCAAGTGTTTACAAACTTCAAAACTGAAGGTCTGACCAACAAGAGATTACCATCCAAGTGTTTACAAACTTCAAAACTGAAGGTCTAGACCAGCATGAGATTACCATCCATGTGTTTACAAACTTCAAAACTGAAGGTCTGACCAACATGAGATTACCATCCAAGTGTTTACAAACTTCAAAACTGAAGGTCCAGACCAGCATGAGATTACCATCCAAGTGTTTACAAACTTCAAAACTGAAGGTCCAGACCAACATGAGATTACCATCCAAGTGTTTACAAACTTCAAAACTGAAGGTCCAGACCAGCATGAGATTACCATCCAAGTGTTTACAAACTTCAAAACTGAAGGTCTGACCAACATGAGATTACCATCCAAGTGTTTACAAACTTCAGAACTGAAGGTCCAGACCAGCATGAGATTACCATCCATGTGTTTACAAACTTCAAAACTGAAGGTCTGACCAGCATGAGATTACCATCCATGTGTTTACAAACTTCAAAACTGAAGGTCTAGACCAGCATGAGATTACCATCCATGTGTTTACAAACTTCAAAACTGAAGGTCTGACCAACATGAGATTACCATCCATGTGTTTACAAACTTCAAAACTGATGGTCTGACCAGCATGAGATTACCATCCATGTGTTTACAAACTTCAAAACTGAAGGTCCAGACCAGCATGAGATTACCATCCAAGTGTTTACAAACTTCAGAACTGAAGGTCCAGACCAGCATGAGATTACCATCCATGTGTTTACAAACTTCAAAACTGAAGGTCTGACCAGCATGAGATTACCATCCATGTGTTTACAAACTTCAAAACTGAAGGTCTAGACCAGCATGAGATTACAAACAATCAGGCCAAATCTGAGATGCTCTGCTCAAAGAAGTAATAACTAGGGCGCCTGTAACGACTGCACTAATCTAGTGTAACCTGCAGTCCTGTTTTGGTGGGAGCGGCATTGAGTTGTTAGTCGTGGTTCCAACTTCACTGCAGATGGGTCAGCCCATAACATCTCCATTCCTGCGCCAGTGGGAATCAGACAAAGTTTCATCCACTGTCCCATGTGAAAACCAGTGAAACACTTTTCAGTCCCAGCAAACTCTTAAAGCTTGGCGGCCAACGTAAAAATGAGGAATTGGCAACAGCAAAGACTAGCTGGGGAAACATAACTTCTAAGACAATCTGCAGTCAGCAAGCTATAGGCTGTTTAGGCCGGAGGAGTATTGAAAGATCTTGTAACAAGTTGAAAGATTTATGAAATAAACTACAGATTAAATCAGCCAGGGAAGATTTCTACCAGCCGTGTGTCTGCCTACAACTTGACAAATGCCAATGGAAAGACCGCAAGAAAAAAATTAACACAGCTGCATGCGCCAGTCGGCAAGGCATTTGAGGATGTCTACATGCCTACTGATGTTATCATAGAGAGGTAGCGACATATGTTGTCTACCAAAGAGATTTGAGAAGCCATCAAAAGAAGACTAAAGCATTTTTTGCTAACGTTCTGAAACATCCAAAAGGAAAGGAATTATCTACAAGAGCTTGCTGCTAGCCACAAACCTCAACCTCATCTTCTGCTTTTGCTGGTGCTGCAGTGGCTGCCTCTTCCTGTTCAAATTCCACATTTTAAAATGTCAGATTAGGCTGGTGAAATGGCTTAGGAGGCCTTGAAGGCCAAAAGCCCTGTTTATGTGCAAAATAACAATAATAGATTAAGTGATGGGAAGTAAAGATGGCCAGTATGATGTTGACCACATCACCCACTGAGTGCCGATTGGTCTATAAAATATCGGTCTAGCACTATATACGTAGTGCACCCATTGGCGTAGAAAAGATTTCTTTATACGTTAACAGTAACAACATCTGTACAGCGCTTGGTTAATTGCCATGCAGGACACGTAACATTTCAAGACGACATTTTTGCCAGGTAGCACTCGCATTTGTCTCTAAAATTGGGCATTTTGGCCTCTTTGCCACACAAAGCACATTGTGAGGTTTTATTGATATCTTGTACATATTTTTCTGCTGCTTAGAATATATCTGTCTGTCTGTCTGTCTGTGTGTGTGTGTGTGTGTGTGGGTGGGTGTGTGTGTGTGTGTGTGTGTGTGTGTGTGTGTGTGGGTGTGTGTGTGTGTGTGTGTGTATGTATGTATGTATGTGTGTGTGTGCGTGCATGTGTATGTATGTATGTATGTGTGCGTGCACGTGTGTGTGTGTGTGTGTGTGTGTGTGTGTGTGTGTGTGTGTGTGTGTGTGTGTGTGTGTGTGTATGAATGTATAAAATAGCTGCAAAATTGTTTTATAAAGCACCGCTGTCTATGCCACTTGCAAACAGACTGGTATGCTTTTCATGACTACAACAATGGAGTAAATATAGATGGACAACATCAAACGTTCTATAAATTGAACTGGGGAATACCTCCTCATCTTCTCCTCGTCGTTGCCGACTTCTGAAACTTGATGATTCCTGAAAATGGCATCATCATTGCAATAACAGCAGCAAACAGCCAAAAGATGTTGAAGTTAATAACAACAGAACATTGCTTTTATTTTTTTCAAAGTATGTTGGAGAGGGGATTCTGGTGGTTTTTTTTTTGGGGGGGGGGGGGGGAGGGGTGGTGGTTTGCTCTACACCCAAGAGGGGCGCCACCTGAAAAAGGCTTGAGATCACTGGACAATACAAAACTGTATGGCACACAGGGAGATCTGGACTGGATGATAGCTTTCATCAAGGCTACTAGCCTCTTCATATAGGTTTTTCAACAGAGTGATTGATGAGCAGAGGTCGCCCATGAAGGGGATGGATTGATGAAATATCATAGGCTGTGAATACTGGCATTTACATAGTGTACAGCCAAAGCTCGCCTCAAACGCCTCCTCAAAACCGTGATGCTGAATGAGATAACAGGGTCTAGAGAAAAGAAAATGAATGAGGAAGCTGATCTGGGATTTGACATGTTGGATTACTATATAGGCTGCAATATTTATAGTCCAATGGGTTGTCAAACCTTTAGATATTGGCCCTGAAGCAAAAAACAGACAAATATTTGTATGGAAGATATTGAAAATACTACCATAAAACTCCAAACAGCCTTTTTTTCTAATTTTCCCAAAACTTTGAAGTGTCATTTAAAACAAATATCATCGTGCAGGAAACAATTTAAGAAAATTCATGCTATTAATAAACAATCTGAAAAAATGAAACACTGCGTCAACATAAATAAACTTGTTAAAAAAACACAACGACAAATGATTTCCCGTTGTATATGTGAACAATCATAGTAGAGCAAAGACACAATTTGTTTAGAACCATTTGTACGTCAGTGGCGATCAGGCATACTGTAATAGCCTCATATTTTTTACATACAAACCAACACTCTGCAGGCAATGTGATCAACATTGTGACGGCTGCCTTAACTTCCCATGACATTACTGGTAGCCATTAAAGGCTTGGTCGATCTGGGGGGAGATTTCAATTCTAAAGCAAAGAAATCTGTCTCCATGAAGATTCGAACGCAAAACATAAGAACCGGCAGTGAATTGTCTAGCCACTACACTACCACAGCTTCCTGACTGTTACTATAAGAAGGACAGACATGGCTGGCAAAACATGATAGTCCCTGAACCAAGAAGGCTGACCTGGTTGACAAATGCCTGCAGAAGTCAGATGTGTCGGCCCAAAGGTACAAATATCGCAGCCATGCTGTAAACAGGCACAAAACAACTACATCTTCGGATGAACGAAGAAGAAGAAGAAGAAGAAGAAGAAATGATATTCCAAAAGTACAGATAGATGCTGCTGCAAAAACACAAAGAAGTTAAGAAAGACGCAAAGAAACCAGACCATAATTAGCTCCAATTTTGTTTGCAGCAGGTTGAACATAGGCAAATTTGTCTTCGTAAAATCGGAACTGACTGGTTTAAATAGGGTGCTGTCAGCCAAGACAGAGAATAGATAATCTAATGTAAGTTGTGACAAGAATAACAAGACAACTTGACAGCAATGTTCATACCTCCGCTGCGGTCTCGTCCTCTGTTCCTCGCCTCCTGCCCCGCCTGCTACTAGTATCTTCTTCAGCAGGAGCCTCACTGTGGAGTAAACAAGACAGTTTACATGATGTGTCTGATTACATCATCTGTCTGATTTCATGATGTGTCTGATTACATGATGTGTCTGATTACATCATCTGTCTGATTACATGATGTCTCATTTTCACCTGGCTGGTCATTGTTCTCCTCCAACATTGCTGTCCATGGGATTAACACCTCAAGGATGAGAATCATACAGAAGTAAATAACAGAAAGCCGGTGTAATCGTAAAATACAGTTTTTTAGGGTATTCTTATGGTTACAAACATTACGGTATCTGAACATCAGGGAAAACTGACTAGTTAACAGCAACTTATCTTCTAAACTGAAATAATTTAGCCATATCAAGCGTCACGGTGGATGGGAAGAAATAATAGTAGAAGGCGTGGTACTAGGAAAGAGGAGCAGGGGCCGACCAGCACGAAGATGGGCACAGGATAAGTTACACCTTGGCTAGGAAAGTGCAAGAGGTAGGAGAACTTGTCAGAGACCAAGTTTCTTTCAAGCAGAAAGTGCTGAGAGCGAGGTTCTGCAAATGACCTCCCACATGATGATATGGCTACTGAGTAAGCTGCAGTCCTATGTGGATTACAAGGGACTGTGCTGAACCTTTTGTGTGATTTTTGCTGGCAAGGGACCAGGAGCAGTTCCAATGAAGTGGAATTGGGGCATAACAAGATGTGCTTTTTATGCCACTCTATGTGGGTACAAGGCCCCAGTGTTGGGGGATATACTCAATGCTCCTAACAAGCATGTCATAAAAGTCAACTAATTAGGGGTGTTTTCTTCAAAGTAGGAGTGCATCTGCCCGAGAGGTGAGGAACCAACAGTCTGCACACAAATAAGTCAGATCTGTAAAATGGATGTGCAAACAAAACTTAAGTTCTGGAACAAGACTAAAGCCAAAAGTGGACAAACAACAAGAATTTTCCGCAGCAGTTTATAGACAGTGAACAAAGAAGAAGATTTTATGCCTAGCGCAAGTAATGAAGAGGTCTAGTCAGTTAAGTAGGCGCTATACTGACTAAAGCGTCTCTTGAACTCCTCATGGAACATTCTAGACAGACTATTGAGGTCACCCTGGGCATTTAATAGTCCCCCCCCCCCCCCACCCCCCCATGACATCCCAGGCAGACAAATCACGTGGGATATTCCAGGTAGGCACTAGTCTGAGGGACATTCTAGGCAGACAATAGTCTATAGGACATTCTGGGTAGACACAAGTCTGGAGGACATTCTTGACAAGCACTAGTCTGTGAGACATTCTGGGCAGACACTAGTCTGAGAGACATTCTTGGCAAGCCCTAGCCTGTAGGACATTCTGGTTAGACATTAGTCTGAGGGACATTCTTGGCAAGCACTAGTCTGAGGGACATTCTGGGTAGACATTAGTTTGAGGGAAATTCTGGGCAAGCACTAGTCTGTGAGACATTCTGGGTAGACATTAGTCTGAGGGACATTCTGGGCAAGCACTAGTCTGTGAGACATTCTGGGTAGGCATTAGTCTAAGGGAAATTCTGGGCAAGCACTAGTCTGAGGGACATTCTGGGCAAGCACTAGTCTGAGGGACATTCTGGGCAAGCACTAGTCTGTGAGACATTCTGGGCAGACACTATCTGTGAGACATTCTGGGTAGACATTAGACTGAGGGAAATTCTGGGCAAGCACTAGTCTGTGAGACATTCTGGGTAGACATTAGTCTGAGGGACATTCTGGGCAAGCACTCGTCTGTAGGATATTCTGGGCAGACACTAATCTGAGAGACATTCTGGACAAACACTAGTCTGTAGGACATTCTAAGCAGACACTAGTCTGAGGACATTCTAAGCAGACACTATTCTGAGGGACATCTGGGCAAACACTAGTCTGAGGGACATTCTGGGCAAACACTAGTCTGAGGGACATTCTGGGCAAACACTAGTCTGAGGGATATTCTGGGCAGACACTAGTCTGTGGGATTTCCTGGACAAGCACTAGTCCATAGGATATATACACATACTTTTTTCTACAGTCATCCTATAGATAGGACGACGTCTTCCATTGAAGGACTACATCTGTACGAGAGGCAAGGAACAACTAACTGTCACATAAATAAGCTAATAATGTACATGCAAAACTTAGGCACTGGCACATGGCGCAAGTCAAAATAGGGGAACAGCCAGGAGTTTCAGCTGCAGTTCATGGCTAATGAATGCACACAAAAAAAGATACATATACCAAATGAATTCAATGTTTCCAGATTTTGTTTGTTTCTTCAAGAATTATATATTGTTATTTAGGCACCTCGCGCTTTTATTAAAAGCGAAAGCAAATTGTGATAAATTTTGTAAAGAGAATTACTTAATCTCTTGTGTACTTTAAACTAAATTTTGAATTATTTTAAATTTAGTACTTTCATATTTATTCACTCCAAACAAAGGACATCCGGAGTTCCCCGGAAAGTCCAATATTCTAGGGGTGTCAGGGTTTGAAATGAACATGGACTAAGCCTAACCCTAACACCGCTACAATATTCTGACTTTCCCGGGAACTCCCAGATTCCTATGTTTGGGGTGAGTTAAAATAGTTATTAGTGCATTGGTTATTGTATGCATTTTGAATAACAGCTTTTTTTTTTATATTTAAAAAAAAAAAGGGTTTTTAATTTTTATTGTTAAAATTTTATTTACTTTTTAGTCATAATAATGTGTTAATTATTTGTTTGTCTTGGCTTATCTGTCTCTTGTCTCCATGACAAATTTGTAGGCAAATACACTCCGAGTATGATTAACAACTCAAGGGCTAACACAAATTCATAAGTAATTGCTATCCACCACAATAGTCTAATAAAAAGGGGACCATTTTCCATGTCTTTAGGCATACTGGGCTAGACCTATATTTTCTAGACCAAATGGCACTCAGTGGGTGATATGGTAATGCCGACGGCCTTTAATTCCCAGGGCTTCACCTGGTAACCATTTCAGGCTGGCCATATGCGGAAATCTTTTCCCCCAGTAGAGATAATCTGAAATGGTTTAGGATCTTTTCTGTGAAATCAAAACTGAATGTGTGCATGTCACCTCCACCCCACTCTCGTCCCCGGGCTGTTATCTTCTTCTTCTTGTTTCGTTCGCTTGAAATAGATTATCTATATCTGCAATGTTGTTTCTAGTATGAACTTCACTGTCTTTTGTAATTCACTCAGTGACCCATAAAGTCTGACTTGCACCGATGTTTCTCTTGGACAAAAGTTTTGCCATGATATGCTGTATTTGGGACAGTCTTGGAGGACATGATCTGTTGTCTCAGTCCGCATGTACACATGGCTGATTTGCCGATTTTAAATTTTGTGTACATGTGGCTGCGAAGTCGAATGTGGCCTGTTCTAAGGCGTAGTATAAAAACTTGCTCTGGTCTGTCCATAACATGGTAATCGTCTTGTGCCGATTTTTGGTGGCTTTCTGATTGATTTGATTATTCACTTCTATTGCTGATAAGAGGCTGTTACCTGAATGTGTTACGCCATCATATCGCATAATCTCATTCTGGATAGCAGACCAGCAGAGCAGATTGTAGATTACCAGAACTGAGAATTTTGTAATAGTCTGCGTTGCTGTGGCTGTAGATAGAGTGCAGACTAGGTGTGTGTCAGCTGGGAGTGCCTGAGTGACTGTCTGAGTGAGTGAGTGGGTGGGTGAGTGAGTGGGTGAGTGTGTCACCTGGGAGTGCCTGAGTGACTGTCACGAGTGACTGACTGACTGACAGTCTGAGTGAGTGACTGACTGTCACGAGTGACTGACTGACTGACAGTCTGAGTGAGTGAGTGACTGTCACGACTGACTGACTGACAGCCTGAGTGGGTGGGTGAGTGAGAGACTGAATGAGTGAGTGAGGGAGGATTAGTGAGGAAGGCGTGGAGGGGGGGGGATAGAGTGAATGAGTGACTGACTGTCTGACAGTGTGTGAGTGAAAGAGTGACGAAGGGAGGGAGGAAAGACTGGGAAAGTTTGTTTCTTTGCGTTGTCCGGCAACAAGCTCTCAGGAAATTATCTGGTTGTTCATCCATTTCTGAGCTTTGGACTTGTTCTAGAACTTTGCGTCCACATTCTCTTTTACAGATCTGGCTTATTTGTATGCAGACTGTTGGTTTCTCGCCTTTTGGGCAGATGCACTTTGACTTTGAAGGTGACAACCATAATTAGTTGCCTCTTATGACATGCTTGGTAGGCAATGGGTCGATTTCCCCCCCCCCCCCCTAAAATGGGGCCCAGAACACATATGAGGAAGAGTGGAAGAGAGTGGCTGAGTGAATGAGTGGTTGTCCTTGGCAAAGGGGGTAAAATAGAAGAAGATGATGAAGAAGAAGAAGGAGAAGAAGAAGAAGGAGGAGGGGGAGAAGAAGGGGGAGGAGCAGAAGAAGCAGAAGATTAAGAAGAAGAAGATTAAGAAAAAGAAGAAGATTAAGAAGAAGAAGCAGAAGAAGAAGAAGAACAAGAGGAAGAAGAACAAGAAAAAGCAGGAGGAGGAGGAGGAGGAGACGAAGAAAAAAAGGTGGAGAAGGAGGGTGAACAAGAAGTGTACATAATTCTTTGTAAACAGACTTGGTGCTATTGTGGAGTCCACACACTGTGGTCAAAGCCTGTCCGTGTGTGACCTACGGGACAGCAGCGGCTGGGCCAACGGTTAAGAATGCTGCGTTCTCATAGAGAAGACCCAGGTTCGAATTCGCGCTAAGGAGATGGATTTAGTTCTGTCTGGAGCAGAAATAAAACAATAACCTGGCTCTTGCGTGGCAACAGCACTAGCCATGGGGCGCTAAATCCTCAGGCTCAAAGACAACCCCTTCCCCCATACCCTCTCCTCACCGCAAAAATGGTAAATAGTTTTTTGGTAGACCACTGCAGGAAACCGAGACACTTAAAAAAATATCCGTGACCAGCGAGAGGGAACCTTTAACATAACATTCTTTTTCTTCTTCTTTTTCTTCAGCATTCCGAGCCATTAAGATTCATTGCTACAGATATCACCCGCTCCCATTCATCTTTCTGGTTGGCTTTCTCTTTCCAGTTGGTGACACCAAGTTTATGCAGGTCTGTCTGGATATTATCGACATAACATTAACAATGTTAAAATGCTGCTTTTAAGCGAACTTAATGGCATTAAATATAAGAACAGGAAAGTTTATGTGTGGGTTTTAGTTTTAGGGCCACATTTGTGAATGGGGGGGGGGGGGGGTTAAAAAAAAAGATGTCGTATAAGTCAATTCATTAGAAGAGAGGCGTAATCTGATGTTTCGGGCCGACAGGAACAGATATCACGGCCAAGCTGTAAACCATAACACAACCTGCAACCGCTCTATTAAGGGCGAACGGAGGAGGAGGAGGCGAAGAAGAAGACGAAGAACTAAAAAAAAAAATTACAAATCTATATATGATTAACTTACACGAAACAAAACTGTTGCTGGTAAAATATCCAAACGAAAAGGTTGACCTAGGTATTATATCACTGTGTTGAAGGCGTTGTCGTCCCGGGTCGTTACAGAATCTGCTGTATTGTAGAAACTGCGTCGGTGCAGGACAGAATCGCAGAATGGAGGGGAAAACAACCGAACGTTTCGTGGTCACAGGTTGTTCAAACAACAATAAATATTCAAAAACACCTTATACTTTACAAGCAGGTAAATGCTTTCCCCAAAGGCCAAGGCTGGGAAAGGTCAGAAGCTGTAACCAATTAGAACGCGCCAGATTACCTCAGTTGATATCTCAGATGTAATGAGATAACGGGACTGGATTTAGCTTGGAAGACGCAGAGACTGATTTGTGGCGTAGCCGCTTGGAATCATGCCATATTGAGACGAGGCCAATAATGCTGTTGTTTTTCTGTCCTGGAAACGTATGCGGTTGGCCCCGGCAAGTGAAGACAACAATGCAGCAGAAAGGGAGTCAAGACAAACATTCATGGCAATGTTATATGCAGCTGTCTACACGTGTTTGTTCTTTGTCCTTCTCACCTTTCTACGTCAGTAATGCCCTGTTGGTAAGGGTATTATAGTTTCCATTTTCTCTTATCGCAGGCAGGTAGGTAAGTTGTACTCCACCAAGACATCACACAAAACGATTAACACCCGGTGACACAAAGTGCCACCATGCAGATTAGGATCACCCTTGGAGAGGTCACAGAAACCCCGTTCAGCCGTTAGGCCATATTTATGGGCCGGCTATATTTAGGGCCCCCGGCAAACGCCAGGTTAGGGCTTCAAAATAACTAAAAATTGCGTCCCACATGGGAACGATAATGAGAAAGTTGTTAACTCTTTTCGCATTTAATCTCTGTCTCTTATATGTAACTGCTGAATCCATCGTAGATGAACTGCACTTCTAGAGTCTGACTGCGTGTGTTGGCACTTCTGGCTTGCTCAGTGTACAAAGGCTCAGGGGGCTGGGTCACACCTGGAGAATGAAGGATTGCAGAGATCCTAAAAAAAAGGCTCAGGTGGTTTGGTTACACCTAGAGAATGGAGGACGACAGAGACTCTAAATAAATAAGGTGGTTTGGTTACACCTATAGAATGGAGGACGACAGAGACTCTAAATAAATAAGGTGGTTTGGTTACACCTAGAGAATGGAGGACGACAGAGACTCTAAATAAATAATCTGTTGTGAATTAAAGATGGATAGAAGATGTCAATGCCGACCTCTACTACGATAAAAAGATGTGTGGAAACGGGACATAAATGATAGGAGGAGGGAGCACTACAGGAATGGAATGATAATAAAGGAATAAATTATTGCTAGTCATGCTCGCCATTGCCATGTGCTGTGAGTCCCATGTCTTCTCATAGCACAATATTACACTGTCGTCTGGAAAGACAGAAACGTGCTAATTGATCTGGTGGACATCCACAAACAGAAACACTTACTCATCGTCGGCGCCACGACGTCTGCGGCGAGCTTCCCGGCGTTCCTCTAGCGAGCTCATGATTGGTCAGACTTGGTGATAGCGAAATGCTGAAAGTTGGAACACAGGGAAGCCATTTAATAGAGGAACGGAACAATTGTGGTAGTTTTGTCTTCTCTTACAAGATATGTGATCTCTCTCTCTCTCTCTCTCTCTCTCTCTCTCTCTCTCTCTCTCTCTCTATATATATATATATATATATATATATATATATATATATATATATATATATATATCCCTCTCTCTCTCTGAGTTATATTTCCAATTCTGAAAAGCATGGCAAACGCTAGGTCCTGCTGCGGCCACCGTGGTCATTGTCAAATTTCTCACTGTCATGATGAAGCCTGGTTACATCGGGGAGTTTGAACAGATTGATGATCACAGAGCTGGCAAAATTGTCGTTAATCTGGCAGGCAGATTAAATAAATGCGGTGTGGTCAGCCTCAGATTCGACTTGTCTATCAGAGACCTGGAGAAGTGGACAAACAATCTTCTGCCATCTAGGCAGTTCAGTTTCACTGTGATGACCTCATCCGGTGGTATCATGAACCACGAAGAGGCCTGAAGAAATTTAGTAGTAGTACATTTTACCCCACCAGGACATCACACAAGCGATAAACACCCGATGACACAAAGTGCCACCATGTGGATGAAGATCACCTGTGTAGAGGTCCCGGAAACCGTGTTCAGCCATATTACTATATTTTATGGCCGGGTTATATTGCGGCCCCTGGCAAGAGCCAGAGTGGGGTTTCAAAATAACTAAAAATTGCATCCCACAAGGGGATGACTTGTTTACTAAAGAAAACTCTTAGGAGGTAAAATTCTGAGATTCTTATCTTAATGGCAGTCAGAGATTTAACATGATAACAACACTGTTAACATGTAACAATAAAATATAAAACTGTCTGTCTGTCTGTCACTGAATATATGAATCAGGAAACGTTTTATTTTTTACATAAAGGGAAGTAACCACTTTATACAAAGGGAGAAAAGAATCTAGATACATATCTCCCTTTGACCACTTAGAAGTGGTTATTAACACGTTGTCACAGATCCCAATGTGGTGCAATAATGAAAGCATACGATGTCACGGTAACGTCACCATCTTAAGCAATCTATTTTGTTAACTCCCAAAAGTATATAAAAACTATTATTATTATATTTTTTGGTGGGGTAAATATGTTCATACTAATGTCCCACAGTATTTAGTTGCAGCCAGAACCAGAGCTGCCATATTCCTTGCGTCCTTCTTAGGACGTTATTTTTTGTTATTTGAAGCCCCACTCTGGCTTTTGCCAGGGGCCGCAATATAGGCAGGTCATCATTATGGCCAAATGTCTGAACGCGGTTTCTGGGACCTCTCCACGGTGATCCTCATCCGCATGGTGGCACTTTGTGCCATCGGGTGTTTATCGCTTGTGTGATGTCCTGGTGGGGTAGAAAGTCAGTCAGTCAGTCAGAGCTGCCATACAAGCATACTGCACTCTGTCGAAAGACATTATGTCAATCAAAACCCGTAAAAGTCGGAAAATTGTTTTTTCGGAATGAAAGGGTTAAAGGTTTGACAAGCATATCATTTACAGGAAAACAAATAAACGCATGGTGAGTCGCTTCATGGCAAAAGAATTAATGACGAGAGGATCGACTTGTTTTGCCCAGGTTTGTATCCCATCTAGTGGATCCTACAAACAACTTGTAAATGCAGAACCTCTACTGTTCAAGCATAGATGAGATTTTGTGACTAATTTTTTGTCTTGTGCCAATGAAGGCTTTCTAGCCGATACGTTCATTTCGTTGTTAATGACTGTGCAGCTGGCTAGCTCTAGTTCTCGTCTAAAAAGATATCAATCCAAAGGAAAAGATGAGCAGCGAGCTTCACACTGTGACAAATACAAAAAGTGAGCGTTGCGGCTTCGGAGCCTTCATCCGCATATTACATAAATCAACAAAACCTCGTGTATAGACGCAAATACATAACATTACTTAACGGGCAGTTAAAGCTCTCTCTCTCTCTCTCTCTCTCTCTCTCTCTCTCTCTCTCTCTCTCTCTCTCTCTCTCTCTCTCCTCTCTGTCTCTCCTCTCTATCAGTCTCTCTCTTATCGCTCTCCTCTCTCTCCTCTCTCTTGTTTCTCTCCCCTTCCTCTCTCATTTCTCTCCTGTTATGTCCTTCTCATCTTTTTCTCTCCTGTCTCTCTCCTGTCTCTCTCCTCTTTCCCCTTTCTCTCCCCTCCTTCTCCTCGCTTCCCCCCCCCTCTCTCTCTCTCTGTCTCCTCTTTTCCCCTCTCTCTCCTCTCTCCCTCTGTCGCATCTCTTTATTCTTTATATTATCTCTGTCTTCTCTATATCCCCTTTCCTTTCTCTCTCTCTCTCCCCTTTTCCTCCTCTCCATCTCTCTCCCACTCTCTCTTTCCTCGCTCCTCCCTCTTTCTCTCTATAGAACCGTTACTCGCCTGCCAAGACCGCCACGCTAGCTGTAGCCCCTATCCCAGGGGTCTCTAAAAATTTCACTTATGAAAAGAAGGCCTTAACCCGCCCTAAAAGGTAATGAGAGGCCTTTGAAAGGTAATGAGACGCCCTTGAAAGGTAATCAGACTCCCTTGAAAGTAAAGGTGTTACTAGATCCCTCATCAAACTATTTAAGACCTAATTACATATTCTTTATATCAGTGTTCTTTATACATCTGGACTCTTGCGGGTCGGAAAATAGGAAAATTATTGCCCCGGACTAGCCGACTGTTGAGACAGAAACAAAAACAACAAGTGGTTTGAGTTGTGAACTGTCAGAGATATTGTGGTGCCTTATGCAATTAACTGCGTATGCAAATACTTATTCGCTGTAACTGTTGTTCCATCGATGATGAACTGCATCACTAGTGTCGGACTGTTTGTGTTGGCACTCTGATTGCAGCTGTAGGCATTGAATGCTCGTGTATGCTGCTGGGCTGGCTAAAAACAAGGATGATTACAGTCAAGCTAAAACCAAGGAATTAATTCTCGGAACTGTGACCAAGAAGCTTAACGAAGGTAGAAAGAGAAACAACGCAGACGTACAACACGAAAAGACACCAAACGGAGCCTTTCTCGAGATGAACCACTACAACAACAAAGTATTCAGCCGTGTTTTATCTAACGTTACTGTTTAGAATTTTGAATATGTGATACATGTGGCTAGAGCGTTGTTTTTGGGAAATAAAGCTATGCAATAATATCTATTAATTTATCCGTTTGTTTCCACTGTAGTCGTTACGAGACTGCGGACATTTTTGAGGGACCACCGGAAAACTTAGGTATACTGGCGCCTCGCGGCAGACCACAAATTAAACAGGATGGCCTTGCAGACTGCAGCATAACTAGCGCTAGCACTTACTGACATTATGTGGTTTCCGTGTACAATTTTGCATTCTGTAGTTTCTGCTTTCTGTACTGTACGACGCTTATACCATTGTCAAAATCAATGCAAAACAGTCGTCTGCTTAGTCATATGTAGCTGACTTGTAAATCCGAGGTCGAGAATCAATGAGTTATTATATTATGGGAAGAAGGAGGAGGAGAGGAGGAGAATAAAATGAGGAAGAAGACGAGAAGGAGGAGGAAGAAGAAGAAGGAGGAGGAGGAGAAACATAAAGATAAAGAGTAGAAGGAGGTGGTGATAGTGGTGGTAATGGTAATGAAGAAGATGAAGAAGAAGAAGAAGAAGAAGAAGAAGAAGAAGAAGAAGAAGAAGAAGAAGAAGAAGAAGAAGAAGAAGAAGAAGAAGAAGAAGAAGAAGAAGAAGAAGAAGAAGAAGAAGAAGAAGAAGAAGAAGAAGAAGAAGAAGAAGAAAAAGAAAGAAGAAGAAGAAGAAGAAGGAGAAGAAGAAGAAGAAGAAGAAGAAGAAGAAGAAGAAGAAGAAGAAGAAGAAGAAGAAGAAGAAGAAGAAGAAGAAGTAGCAGAACAGACGGCAAATGGCTTCCCGTTTCATAATCCTCCATTCCTTTCTTCAGTCCCTGTGCATGCGCAAATCTTGTAAACGTTAAAAAAAAAAAAAAATCCCCAGAACATAAGTCTGGAAAAAGTACCCTGACGGCAACAGAAACAACCCAGGGGTGGGTAGAAGATGAAGCTCGGTTGGCCTGCGCACGTGTGAGTACTTCCATTACCTAGGAGAGAGCTGGTAACGCCATACAACAGCATCAAGTCTGGAATGTGTCTGCGCGCATATTTATGTCGATGTAAAACTGGAGGAAACAGGCCGACAGGTGAAGATGTGCCTGGGGTTCTGCTCTAGACGGCGTGTGTGCATGTGTGTGCGTGCCTGCTCGTACCAGTGCGTGCAAATGTTTCTGTTACCTACTGCAGTCAAGAAAACAGTTTTCAGTTTGCTTTCTTTGTCTCTGTGTATTCTTCCCTCTAATCCTTTCTATCTATTTATATAATCTGTCAGTCTGTCACACACTCTCACACACACGTGACGTATTAAGTATTTGTGCAAATGTTTCTGTTACCTACTGCAGTCAAGAAAACAGTTTCAGTTTGCTTTCTTTGTCTCTGTGTATTCTTCCCTCTAATCCTTTCTATCTATTTATATAATCTGTCAGTCTGTCACACACTCTCACACACACGTGACGTATTAAGTATTTGTGATTTTACTGACAAATATTCTCCCATTTTGGTAAGAAACTCAAGCGCCCATTCTACCTTTCGGGAAAAAACTTTTCTTCTTCTTCTTCTCTTCTATCTTGTACCTCGTCGAAGTGTCAGGGGGAGATGTAACATTCGTTGATAAGCTCTGTCAAGAGCACTATTAAGACTGATATTCATTTCTGTAGGGCTGTTCTTAATGCCATCACTCCATTTTTTCCGAGGTCTTCCACTCGCTCTATACCCGTTGTAACGTTTTAGTGTGGCTCGCTGTGGCAGATAGTACCAGGGCATTCTTGTTGGGTGTCCAAACCAGTTCATGTGTTGTTCTTTGATGACCTGTAAGACTGGCTTTATTCCTTGCATTCGTCTGATTTCGTGATTTCGAATTCTGTCT